TTTTTAATACCACTCTTGGAAGTGGAATAGCTGGTGAAATGAAATTTGGACACTTTGTAAAAGATAGTTCGGATCAAAAAACGCTTTGACTCTTTAATTATTCAGCGCTTTAAGTATAATGTATTTGAGCTAATTACGCGATAAGAACAAAAAAACAAACAAAAAAAAAACCTGCATTTAAGTTTTGTGTTTATCAATTAAGAAAATATTCAGTGTAGTTGCCGTTTTGTTATACATTACATATGTTGCTAAAAAAATGTATTTAGGAACGCAACAACGTCACTGAATCCTCGAGTCTCCTCACCAACTGCGGATTCTTTTTGGTATTTAAAGCCCTGGGGAACCACTTTAAATTTAAGTAATTCGAAAATAAAAACTGTTTCCATGGAGCTAGAGACATTGGCTATATATATAGCAAAATGCAACTAAATTGATCGTGTGGTTTTCTTAGGGTTTGCATCGAATGTTGAAAAGACGTATGATTTTTCTGCGGTTCGCCATAGGAACCAATGAGTAAAAGTTTGGTTGCATTTTGGCCAGACTTAATATAAACCCAGGACCACGAAACTTCTCGTGGAGATTGAGGGCAACGTATTAAAACGTGACACAAAAGTGCAAAGGGATTGAGTGATTAGTTTTCTTTGTATAAAAAAAGATCGCTTTGGTCCATTGAGTTACGGGCGCCGGCGCGGCGGCGGCCGATAGATGGCGTAAGTAGTAACGGCGCTCGCCTGTCCGAGAATCTTGGGGTTGTTTCCATCCATATTTTTGCCTGGAACATTCTAAATGCACGGGTCGTCCAGATTTTCGTAACTGGTGCGAGTTGCAACAATAAAAAATTCTCAAGCTAGTGCTGCGCGTCTTGGTCGTCTCGGTTCTTTGTTGGTCTATACCGAAATGTAATCGACAAAAAAAGCTGCTTGAAGCTCTGTATTTTTTTTTTACCTACTACCTCCAAGCTGATTATATTTCTTTGGGATTATATTTCTATTACGTTACAAGAGCCTCGCACACTAACTCCCGAGTGTGCGATGCAAAACTAAAATGAGATACCCAGAAACCCGTTGCAGGTGCCCTGAAGTCACTGACGCAAATTTTGAGGAATATATTTGGAAAAGTATTTGAAGGCGACCAAATACATTTGGTTGTATTTGCATCTTGTACTTAAATGCTTTTTTGGAATTGTAATTAGATTTGTAATTAAATACATTTCTGACGAAGTATTTTGTATTTGTATTTCGATACATATTTGCATGTATTTTGTCCATCCCTGGTCGAAAACATGATAAGCATCGAATGGGAGTGAACGTAGACGTATAATGATCCGATACAAAGTTTCGCTTGATTCCTAAACGAATAATGCCATAGCCAAGTACACCTTCACATCAAATTGTTTGACAGAATGGAAGAGAAGATTGTGTGTTTCTTGAAAGAGGTTTTGGCCCCCTTCCATCCGGTCCGCTTTTCTATAGGCCCCAAATATCGTGGGCGAATCTTTCATTTTGTTGCATTTCCACTTCTCCGCTTCCGCAGATTATGATGTGGTAGTTTGGTCCAGTGGCTTAGAGCTCACGTTTTGAAAGGAACCGAAAATAAAAACGGACCAGTACAAGCTGAACTATGCAAGACGCTCTAAGAGAGCCTGTCGTAATAAAAATGAACTGCTCTAATGTGGCAAGTAGGGTCAATCGGTTCATAATTTTTTCATCCCGTTTTGAAAGGCTCCGAAAAAACAAGCAACCAGGAAAAGCTCAGTGACGCAAGGCGCCTTGTATTGTTCAGGTTGTCCCGATTTTTTTATGTCCTTTCGGCGCTCCTCAAAACGCACAGGGTTCGGTTCCTAAACGCTGTTTTTATTTTGGCACGGAAATAAGACGAAAATACGTAATAATTCTTCACACTAGTGCAATGCAATAGAGACTTCTATTTTCAGGAAGCTGCTTTCCGCCATGCTTCCATGTCATCCTCCAGGCCACGAATGTTTGTGCACAGTGATTAAGCTATTTACATCTAAATTGACATGCACTATAAATCTGGTACTTTCTTTTAGAAGCAGCGTGTTAATGCACATGAATTCTCTCAGCGTCTTTCCTTCTAATCGCGTGGAAGGAAAATGGAGATATCCCGGGCATGATTTGTGTAAAAGGCTAGGTTCAATGGTCGCCTATTATTTCTACAAACTCTCTGGCAGATTCACTACCATATAGCCTGCTGTCCTTTCTCCAAGAAGCGAAGTTTTGATAGAATTTCGTTGCTCGGCCGCTATTTTTTGTAGTGGCGCGAAAAGAGAGAGAGAGAGAGATAAAAGCAACGGCTTTCGCAAGCTTATATTTTTTTTTATTTGCAGTTGCGATATTTTGTTGTGTTTAGGTATGCTTTTGTGGTGTAAACAATTTTACGCACTTCCCACAAATATTTCATCCTCAAAGACAGTCGTAAAGTATTACGCACTGCCTCGGGTGCGTTGACCTTACGCACTAGAGCGTCACAGAAGCGAGTATTTCCGCAAAATAAATACGAGGACCTATTTCTCCCTTTGAATCGGCCACTTTTGTGGCATCACGACGAACACACTTTCACCATGAAGTTGTAACAAATAATGATTGATGATGAAATTGATTGGGTCTCAACAGTAGAGCCACATTATTTAGGTTGCAAATAAACAGGCGTCGTTCATGCGATATGTTTACTTCCAGGTTCGAATGTGTTGAGGATGAGTAGCCGAAAAGCGCAGTCTGCAGGCAGTTTCTTGGAGTGGCCTGATACTTCCCCAACTCGGGAAAGGGGGGTGGGGTGGAGAGAGAGAAAGGGGTGGATGTTGATGGAAGGTGATAATATTTATTCTCACTCAGGAGAGTCGCCGGTCGTTAAAACATCGACTTACTGATGACGGGAAAGCCTGTGGGGCCACATCTATAGTAACCATGAGTAAAATGTGATATACAGCTATGTTACTGAGCAGTTGCGATAGTGCAAACGATGGGGCGTTGTGGAGGCAAGTGAAGCAATGACCTATCTTACAATTGTGCCGTCTTCATTAGAAGAAAGGATTTCGGATTGCTTCTTCAACCGCTTTTGACGCCAATCTTTCCAATTTTGAATGAATCCGGGACAGCGTTGATCGCGCAAGCCCGCGCCAATATTTAAAGGTCTTTATCAAGTAATAAAACAAACATCCAGCAGAGGTAAGGATGGATAAATACGCAAAAAAGTCCAAAATGAGATATACAACCTATGAGAGGAGATGTGTTTCAAACAATAAAGAAGAGATTGGGAAAAGCCACTTGATTTATAAGTTTGGCAAATAAATGTATTATCAACGACCTGAACCCCTTATTGCGCAAGCCAATCCTTGTGCAGACACGGGAATGGTTCCAGCAGCCGCGCGATGCCAGAAAGCGGCTACTGGAACGAACAACGCATACCACGACCCCTCGATCTACACCGACCGAGCGGCCTCGGAGCTGCAGCTCATGGGAAAAAGCGTTCGGTCGCGCTGGCTTCCTGAATCTCGCGGATTGAACGTACCCTCTTCAACGAGGGAAGACACCTGGACGTCTCAAGGTCGTTGTGGCGATCACAGCTAGCCGCTCATTTCGCGGTTTTTGAGGATTATCCCTACAGAAAAAGCCGACACAAAAGAAGCCCCTGCCGTCACGTGATTTTCGGGAGAGGGTGAAAAGAGGAGGGCGCGAGGGGCATTTTCCTACCTGGTACTATGTGAAATCTGTAGATAACAGCTTCCTACGAGTAGCGACATTCTTTGAAGCGCCGACTGGGTGTCGGTGCAGGTTTTAGGAAGCGAATGGCGGTGCGCAGCAGACGTTTGAGCTGGATGCCGCCATCTTGTTCTAGCGGAATGTGCTTTGTCATTTGTATCTGTTGTCGTTACTTGTAAAAGAAGTATCAAGGGGCTTTAGTATTATGGTGCGTGAAACGCGAAACGGTACTATTGTGCCTGAAAACTTCTAAAAAGAATCTTGTCTGAGATAGGATTTTTTGAGAAGGTTTTGCTAGTGGCTGATAAACTGAATAACCCCCGGCCGAGCGCATGCGAGGTGACGAGATGTACATTTCTTTCTTTTCCGTTCTTTTCAAATATAGTTGTGAGTGAAGTCACTGGACCTCCGAAAGTAGCGCCATTGCCTTCCCACCTGCTAGCCGGACACAAACAAATACCAACATACAGGCGACAAAACCCCTCAAGGTGATTGGCTCATCCCTGTCGGTTGCCATGGTGATCGTCATTCTGGACCCTGTCAGAGCTGCGAAGTCTCGAAAGGGTTCAAAATTGCGATCACCATAGCAACCGACAGGAATGAGCCAATCACTTTGAGGGGTTTTGTCGCCTGTATGTTGGTATTTGTTTGTGTCCGGCTAGCAGGTGGGAAGGCAATGGCGCTACTTTCCAAGATCCAGCGACTCTAGTTGTGAGTGGTGCCTGTGTGTGTGTGTCTTCTTCCTTGTGTCCGTGTTGTTTTCATTTTTTTTTTCATTTTTGCGCTTTACAATATGCTTTATATTGTTTCAGGTAGCACAGTGGTACTGCACTGGCTAAATGTCTTACCTTCAGTGGCGATACCAGGAGCCCTAAACTCGTCAAACACAAAGTTCTAGCCGAAAGTTCGCAGAGCGCGCTGATTGGACGTCGGGGAAAAAAGTGCGAAGTCATTGTCGTGATAGACCAATCGGTGCGCTCCGTTAACTTCGGCCCCAACTTTGTGTTTGACAAGTTTAGGGGGCCAGGACCCATAAACTCGTGAAACACAAAGTTGGGGCAAGAGTTGACGGAGCGCCCCGATTGGCCTATCACGACGATGACTTGGCGCTTTTTTCGCCGACGTCCAATCGGCGCCCTCCGCGAACTTTCTGCTCCAACTTTGTGTTTGACGAGTTTAGGGACCCGGGTGGCCCATTGGGGCCTAACTAACTTCCCGCTAAATATAAACACAGCGCAGATAAGAGACGACTGCATGTGTCATTTTACGTGTTCATCGCAGCGTCGTCTGCCGTGGCCGGGGCAATAATGTACTGGACTTTCAGCTGCGTCATCCCGTTCCTGATACTGGACAACGCCGGAGGCCACGGCTACCATTTCATAGCGCGCGGACATAAACTCTGGACCTGCATCTTCCCCGGGATGAACCTGCACTGGGGATTTCGTGTTCTTAACCGCTTCGAGAAATTTGGTGAGCGCGTCCTATGCTCAAATAAAGGATACACTGGCTCGATCACGCAGACTGGGGTGAAGTCACGTGACATTGGACACAAAGTCACGTTACGTCACGTTACGCTGCGACGTCATGCGGTCATAACAGCATGAGCAAGAAAAGTCGGCGGTGGTGTACCGGTTCAAAGCTCTCGCTAAAGGGACCTACTTCCTACTCTGGCGAATTGTGTGAACAAGGATCACAAACCGCGATGTTCTACGAAGATTGTCGGCCGTAGACAAGTGTGCCGCATTCTGCTAGGTGTTATTCTGCTGACGAATATTCGACAATTTAATACTTTTTAATAAAACAACCAATGACAATCACGTTCGCCGGTGTATGACGAGACAAATGGCGGAGCACCGTCATGCAACATGGTGAACAGCATAAAGACAAACATAGGGGAAAATTTTGAGCCACAAAAAGGGGTATCTAAAGGTGAGATGTTTAACTTATTTCAAAATTCGGGTCACGGTACAATTTAGGAGCTGTGTACTCATGGTTCTAGGTCACCACATTGCGTACTTCTCCTTATAGATATATTAAATATTGTTCGGGCGGAGAGCATTTCTATGCAGCTCGTCCAAGTTAGCTCCAAACCTTTTACTCCCTCAAATGTCACCCCAAAAGAATGGTCAGGAGCGCGAGTTATAGTTTTGAACGCTAATTACAGCAACCGCACTCGTGGACTTCGCTCTCCGTCACGCCCAGCTGGCACTGACTTTGTTTTTGTTTTTCTACGCCACACGAGATCGTAGGTTCTCTGGGCTAACAGCGCTACAACCCTCGCAGTGGACAGCGGTGCCAACTGGAGCAACTTCTACGACCCCAAAGAGACGCCCGACAACGTGACGCTGTTCGAGATTGCGACGGTTGGGTTTCTGTCCGATGTCTTAATTATAGTGCTAGTGTGGTACCTCGACAACGTGCTGCCCATCGGTCCCGGTATCTCAAAACCTGTCGGCTACCCTTTCATGGTAAGTAAAAATTCTCTCCTGAGACTTAGACTCGGCGCCTGCTTGCGTGAGCATCTCCTTCCTTTCTTCGTTTGTTTAGTAAAACCCTGTAGATTAGTTTTATTTTACTACTATATTCTGCACATCATTCATACGATTCATATTTTTTTTACGTGAATGAGCCGTCGGAGGATGACTACGCTAATTTATTTTATAGTTCCTGTCGCTGTGCTTGTGCTTGAAGTATCATGGCATTGCGTGCCCTTCTGACCTAAGATGACTCTTATTGTGATACTTATACGAACCCTTCTTTGTACCATAGAAGAGCTACTGGTTTCCGGGCATGACGTCCTTGAAAGCTGTCGACAAAACGGACGAGGAGAAACTCAACTTTGAGACCGAGCCTAAAAATCAGGTGGTCGCCATCGAACTCTTACAGGTTAACAAGGTATGTGCCACCTCTACCTCATGATGCACGCATTCGCCGACAATATGCGAAAGATGGAAACAAAAAAAAAAACCAAAACATCCGAAGTTATTTTGATTTTTTCGTTCATCTGCAAAGCAGTCGCAATAGTCTTTTTGAGATCATACACTCGCTACCTAACGACAGCCTTGTCAAATCCTTCGCCCGCTGCATGTTTTTGGGGGTCCGGTGGCAGTGGTTACATAGCAAAAAAAATAATTCCGCAGAATTACAAGGACACGGTGGCTGTTTCCAACTGCAACATGCGCGTTTTCGAGGGTCAAATTACTGTGCTTCTGGGTCACAACGGTGCTGGCAAGACTACTACTCTCAACATGATCACTGGTAAGTGGTAAGCCGACTTGGTGCAAACGTGCTCTAATTTCCGAGGCAGTTGTGTAACCGGCGTCAGTCGACACGTAAATATATTGGATCTAAATTCTGTTGTCTTTTTTTGTGTTCGTCGTGTCACATACACTACTACACTCTAAGAACAGCCCGTGAGTCTGGCTTCCCGCACGACACTCGGAGAGCCTATCACCGTAATTGACGGAGGCAGCTCAACGAACGAATGGAAATGCCGAAACATATGTTTAGACCAAAAAACGCAGTTTGAGTTGTGAGATTAAACAATCCAAACGTGACATGTTGCATTGCTTAATGTCACAACTCAGACAGCGATTTTTGGTCTAAACATATGTTTCGGCATCGCCATTCGCTGAGCGGCCTCCGTAAGTTGCGGGGATCGGCTCTCCGATGTGTGGTGCGGGAAAGTAGACGTACGGGTTTCTTTTAGAGTGTACATTGCTTTCGTAATTACCGCCAGTGATCATAGAGTATTTATAAATGCGATACGAACTGCTCAATATGGTAGAGTAAACGTAAAGTTGTCGCGGAGTCTATTGATTCATGATGTTGCGTGGGGACCGATGACTGGTTACAGGGTATATCGGCGCGACTTCTGGCACAATACTGGTTGGAGGGTACGATATCCTCAACGCTACCCGTGATGCCCGCAAAAGCGTAGGCTACTGTGCCCAACACAACATCTTCTATAGAGACCTTACCGTCGAGGAGCATCTGCTTTTCTTCGCGGCGGTGAGTTCATGCATTCTCTGAGTCTAACCTTGGTCACGGAGGTGGTAAATGCCCAGTATTACCTTTAGCACTAGTGTTTCCCGAATGGCCCTCAGTTTCGTGTTAGCGCAGTAATAATTTCATGTTTCTCATTTTATAAAAAACAAAAGCTAGATACCGTTTTTAACATACGTATATTAAATTTATTATAAACTTGTTTAAAAACACTACAAGGTGTGTTTTTTTTTCATTAGCTTTGCAGATTTGTCAAGAAAAGCCATGAAAGCTACACTCACGGGGTTTGTGCAGGTGAGTTATACGGCCAGGGAGAATAGTATAAGGGGCTAATCATAACGATCCGTCGGCTAATTAAGTATAATTTGTTAATTAACCTTTTACTTAGAAAAAAGATATGGTTCCAATTAGAGACTTGGTAAGCATCATTGAAAACTACTAAATTAACTTTTATGAAGATATAAGACAGGGGCAGCATTTTACGGCGTTTTGAAAAAATTGCGGTGGCTTAGCTCGGCTATGCCAGAATATACGTAGCATGAGCTTATGCGCACAAAATGAGAGGCGCTATCAAGCGGCTCCGGTGCAGCGTCAGACCTGGCTACTGCGCAACGGAGGCGCACAGCTGGGCACGCGGCCGCGCGGCTATGACGTCACTCCGCTGGAATGCGCAGACCGGCGAGGTGGGCAAGGCGGGCGCGACGGCGGCTTCGCGTGGCTCTCATAATGACCCGTGCGCATTATGCGAGCCGTGCTCATTATGCGGAGCTTGCGGCGCCGTGCGCCGTGCTCATTATACGGAGCTCCGCCACCGCCACCTCGCGCTGCGCATAATGAGCACGGCTCATTATGAGGGCCACGCGAAACTGCTCAAGCTCGGCTACACCGCGACCTCGGCCAATATAGCTAACGCTACAAAACGTCTAATTCGGACGCGTTTCTAGGTTCCAGTTTCTTACCGAAGCACATCTTTGCGCCAGCGGTCCTGCTCCCTGGTGGTCTTGGCGAAAAGCAACTTCCTCCCCTCCCTCGTAGGATGGAGGGAAGTAGGGCGCAAGTGTGTTGCGCGTCTCAGCCACTGGGGAGCAGGACCGCGGTCGCCGGGATGCGCTCCGATAAGAAACCTAAACCTAGGAAAGGCGTCCAAATGGAACATTTTTACGGAACGCCGTAAAATCCTGCGCCTAGGTTAAATCCTTCTAAAAAAGAGTTGATTTACTCGTGTTCGATGACGTTCAGCAGGTTTCTAATTAGAACCACATGTCTATTTTCACTACTTCAGAAGTTACTTAACAAAACTTAATAAATTCGCCAACTGATCGTTACGACTAGCCCCCTATATTATATCCCTTTGGCCGTATAACTCACCTGGACAAACGGCATAAGTGTAACTCTCGCGGCTTTTTATGAAACATCTGTAGAGCTTAAAAAAACGTCGGTATGTTAGGTTTTCTCCAAACACCACCGAATGTCAGGAATAGCTTCTTGGTATATATTTTCTAGCAGATTAAAGCAACAAAGAAATGGCTGATCTTGTTAAGCGACTTTAGCGGGAAAAAAACCCCAAGCGGGATCAAACCTCGTTTTCCAATATAATATAGGTAAAAGGTGCCCCACGAGACAGGCTTCGTTTGGAACTGGTGACACTCCTTGGCGAAGTAGGCTTAGTGGAAGTACGCAACACGCTGGCAGCCTCGCTTTCCCCGGGATTCCAGCGACGTCTCTGTATGGCCCTCGCTATCATCGCCACACCAAAGGTAAGAAGACTAAACCCTAGAACTCGACGACTCTACTTGTGCTTGAAAAGAACATGGTGTCGCGGCTGAAAGCCACTTAAAAAGAGAAAACGGTAAAGCACTACTTCCTTCCCCTCCCCTGCCCCCCCCCCCCCCCCCCCCCCGTTCTCTCTGAGACAGTGTAACCTCATTCAGCAGCATCAGAAGCAATCCTCATAGACCGTTTTCAAAACCACTTCAAGGAACAATTGTGGTCGCCATTTTTGGGGCACGAAGCGTGCGATTACCGTAGATACGAGCATTCGCCAAGCGCTGACGTCACACTCGTTTTCAAAACGAGCTGCGCTGAGCACTCCGAACGTTATCGAAGCTTTCGTGTCTAACACAGGTTCAGACTACGTGCCCAAACAATGTCGGACGAGAATATATAACGCAGCAGAGACCAGATGGCGCGCAGTTCTGAAAGGGTCTATTGCCTAGACATGCTCCGTATGTGTTAGTTACTGCGGTTCCTCGAGCCTCAGGTTCAACGTGGGCCTCTGGAAGTTCATTTGCTTACAAATTCCTTGCACTGCTTTGTGTTGTTACCAGGAATCAGAGTGGCATGAAGACAAAGGTGTTCGTAGTTACGGAGTTCTAAAGCCAGAGTTACACCAGAGCGACAAACATAAAACAGGAAACACCGAGAGGCCCCAAACACATGCAACATGCACGCGAAGGAACCTTTGACAGGCTTGCGGTCTCTTTCGGGGCCGGTGAAGTGAGCACGAGTGATTGCAAGCCTGCCAAAGATACCCTCGCGTGCATGCTGCACGTGTTTCAAGCCTGTCGGTGTAGGTAGTTTTTGTTTGTCTCTCTAGGGGGTGGAGACTCGGGCATAAAAAGGAATGGCCTCTACGCGCAGCTTGTCGTTCTCGACGAGCCCACAGCCAACATGGATCCGGACGCCCGGCGCGAGATGTGGGAATTGCTGCTCAAGGTCCGACGGCAAAGCGCCGTCCTTATCACCACTCAGCATATGGACGAGGCAGATGTCCTGGGCGACCGCATCGCCATCATGGCCAACGGCCGCATCCGGTGCATGGGCTCCCCAGCCTTCCTCAAGCAGCGCTTCGGCACGGGTTATCACATGCAAGTGAACAAGGCGGCCTTTTGTAACGTGTCCGTCATCGAGTCCCTGCTCCGCAAGTACGCGCCCCGGGCACGTCTGCAGAGCGACTCGGACAACGAGGCCGTGTTTGTGCTGGGGCAGATCGTGACCACCAGGCACACCATCGCCATGTTCAGAGACCTAGAGCAGGGGAAGGACAAGTTGGGTATCGAGTCTCTGGGGCTGACTGTGACCACGCTTGAGGATGTGCTTATGCGCGTGGGAGAGGAGCATCACTTCCGCCGCCATCACATGCACTCAGACTTCGACGACGAGAACGAGTTCATCGAGGCCAGAGGTAAAAGCCTTTGTTCATATCCTGCCTTCTAGCAAACTAACATATAGGAAGCAAATCGAATCGTTACATATTGTGCCAGAGGCCTATATTTTTTTTTTCGTTCCCTATATTTGCACATTTAATCCCTCTTGTCTTCATCAACCAATACAAAAAAGAACATATGCAGACAAGACAGGCGGGGTCATTTCCGTGTTGAAACATAACCCTGCATGAAGACGGAATCGTACCCTGACAATTGTGCATTGTAAACCCGGGACTGGGGATTCGGACAAGGGACAAACACAGAAACGACACGAACGAAGTCTCAATATGTTGTTGTTGTTGTTGTTGTTTTCGCAGATACACCAGTAAGGTGTATACGTTTTTAGAAATATTTAAACCTATGGTTCTGCCCTGTTTAGATACTGCAGTACAGTGGTCATCAAGCCAACAGCTGGCTTGACTCTCATTGGTGATAACTTTGCCGTGGGCGAGGCTATCGAGCAATCTGATTTCTTTTTTATGAGAAATAAAATATATTTATAGTAATAACAAAGTTTCAATCCAGACGTGTGCTCTGCGACTGACACTATCGCACTCCCCTGAAACAATACAGGCCTGCATGGTGATTTGCAGCAGTTCAAGTTGTTGAAGAGGTGTTCTATAAAACCAAATCAAAATATGTCGGTTCTAAAGAAGAAGAAAAAAAAGGCACGTTTCAGGTGTTTTTGTCGTTGTTACTTATATATGAGACTTTTAGCAAACAGTTACCACGTTCTGCGTACCGCACTGCCAGATCCTTTGAAGCATGCCTTTAAGTTGGCGCCCCGCGGTCTCGGTGGCGCGCGCTTAAAAGCATGCTTCAAAGGCTCCGGTTGTGCGTTACGCAGAACGCGGTAACGGTTTGCTAAAAGTCCTTATTGTGACATTGCCGTCGGCACTCCTCCCGAAGAAAAAAATGACAATTTATTTGGTTGTCCGCTTGAAACCAAGTCTTCTACTCGTTTGTTGAGTACAGCCGAGGAGGGTACAAAGGGCGAATTACCCAAAAAATTGCGAGGACGCATTCTAAAATAGCGTTGCCATTAAAGAAACCAAACCAAAAAAAAACGTTGAGATGGACCATTAGGTTTTACTCGAGAGCTCACGAAAATATATTGGCGATTTTTATCACGTTTTGGAACCCTCTTTCACTGCTTCTTCTTTAGACCGCCAGGCGCTGTGAATATGCGATTCCCCCGAGAAATCTGGCGAAAAAACCTGCACCACAGTTTTCTGCCCTAGCCGTTAGGTGCCGCCAATTTCGCTAGGGTTGACATTGCTTTCGTCGGCTTCCCGAAGAGTCCGTAGTCAACGTGATGGCAGACAACATTTCCTCGGAGCCGGGCCTGGTCCAGCGCATCCGAGCGCTCCTCGCCAAGCGGGCCATCTGCACGTGGCGGCAGTGGAGGCTTCCGCTCTTCAGCTGGCTGCTGCCGCCGTTGCTTCTCTTCTCGCTTTTTTATCTCGAGGAAGTGACGCTCCGGGGAAGCGGCCACGCCAAGGGCGGCAGGGGAGACGAGCTGTACTACCGCTTCCACGATGTCCTCGGCTCCGGAAAGGTGCGGCTGGAGCTGCGCTTTCTTTATTATTATTATTTTAAAGCGAAAGTTTGATGGGCGATACTCTGCAAGGATTTCATCCCCCCTTGGCTTGTCGTCGCCGCGCGCGCCAAGAATTAAACAACTGGAAAAAACCTTCTTCTCTCTCCTCTTGCTGCGAAAAGAAGGAACCAGTTTGATAAAACACCTTCGACTGGGCATGAAAGAACTTTAACAACCAGAAGTAGAGGACACAGGAAAAGAAATCAGTCAGACAACGTCGAGACGTCGTATATTGATTTCTTTTACTGTATCTTCTACTTTTGGCAGTTTTAAGTTTTTTTTCACACCGGTCCCAGGTGTTTTAACACAATGGTAAACTTGCACTAGCTCGCCTGCATCCTTATCGTGTTTTCGTGAAGAGAGGGAAGTCGGGATTTCTCATCCACTGTGCCGGGCCAAGCGAGCGAAAAGGGCAGCCGTGGCGTTCCGCCCAGAATTGCGCAACGAAGGGAGAATCACCGTGTCGTCTGCATGAAAGACTTGTTTTCAAACATGACTCGCGTTGTGAGAAATCCCACTCGAAGTATCCGGTTATTATGCGTAATATTGGATGGTTTTAGAGACTTCCACCGCGAGCTTACCCACTTACTTCAGGGGCCACTGGTGGCAGTCGTCAGTAGTATCTACGACGTCAATCACGACGGATATGAGAATTAACCACGACGCGACTCCGCCGTCACTACATTCCACCCGCATTGTGCGACCGTGCTACAGTTATGGCTTGCCTTTCTTTGCACATTGTGGGCAAAAAATACGACTTTTTTTATTGATGCATACTGCTGGTCTCTTGTGAAACCGTATCAAAAGAGGAGATATAAACAAAATTACATGGCATATTGTGCCCTATTGCGACGAAGCGCTACAAAAGTCAGTAAAAGTCAATACAAAAATCAGTCAATGCCAAACCCGAATATCAAATCTTTCATGACGTATTAGTAACGTCTGCAGATTCTAAGAGGTTGAAAATAAACATTTAAAAATACGGGTATTTGGTATTCGATACTTCAATAAACCTTTGATCTCATTATACATCTTGCGAAGAAACTTTGGTCTTAATAAAATACTACCGAACGGCCCTCGCCACTCAGTTTACTTACCGCATTACTTCTTGCACCGCGCACATGTTCATAAGAGATTTCTGGACAGATTCAATCTCGTACCAAAATTAGATGCCGTAACGTTTCTTATTCGAAGTGCTCCCCACCGCATTCTTGAAAACTCTACCAAAGTTCTGGGAGCGAACGAGTCGTGCTGTAATAGCAGCTAGCTGAATTTGAAATCAAAAAGTAATCCATCCGTGCTTGTTTTGTTTTTTTTGAACATAGCTAAAATTGGTGATCTGCCGACTACCCCAACGAAATGTGAATTTTAATGATGACTGATAAGCGAATTATACTTTACGACCTTATGCACTGATTTAATATTTTTTTAAGTCAACCCTGCGGTATATAAATGGTAATTAAAAGTTTCAGCATAGCGTCACCAGATTCTACTTTAAGAAACAGTATTGCTGTCGGGAGCTCGCGCTTTGACTTTGAAGTATGGCCTTGAGCACGCCTTGACTGCAGTAGTTTGTGGCAGACCTATACAAGAAAACCTTAATACAGCTATAGAGTGAGATGGGATCATACTGACGCTTATTACATGACTGCAGACTGTACGTATTGGCATTTCGTAGAAATGACAGGTAAGCGCTGCACATCGTTTCATGTGTTTTCGATAACTCTGATTGAGACTCCTTGCACCCTGGCTGCAGGGTTTTGTCCAGCACGAGACGCAGTCTGCATTTGTGGAGAAGTACCTCGGGCCCGTCCTCGTCGAACAAAGCTTTAAGACAGACGACATTCCGGCGGACTACAATATTGCGCAATACTTGCTCGGCATCGCTCAGCACTCTCTGCGTCACTACATCTTCGACATTCACGCCGGGTTCCAGATGACCAAGCAAAAAGGGTGGGTGTCCGCCCGCCAAAGTTCTAAGGGCGTATTTCCACTGATCGAGAGGTCCAACGTAGTACGTGTTTCCTGCTGAACGTGCGGCGGATCGGGGCTTTGTCTCCATGCCTAGCCGCACTGCAGTCACCGTCGCAAATGAGGCTGACGTCTTAGGAATGCCGAATCACGAAGCAAGAACCGTGCTTTTTAAAAAAAAGATAAGATACAAGCAAGGTAGATTACACCTGAAATGAAATGCTCGTGTGTTTCGCGATTGTTAGAACTCTAGAAATTGCAGTAACTAATTTACTGATGTTGATCATTTGCATCTGGCGTCCAGGCAACAGAAACAAAATTCAGACGTCGCATGCCCACATAGTCACATCAAGGTGTCCATAAAATACGTGACCGTGACCGTGTAGTTGAACGCTCTCTCATTCTAGGTTTACCCACGCTCGCCCTAGAGTAAAGCTTGGTTCAGACAGTTGCATTTGACTGCGATGTGGCTGCGAGAAACCAGGACATCCCTGCTGCTTATATGGCGTGCCAAGATGATTCCTTGAATTGGATTCCACGCTTCATACGAAGCACAGATGTGCCAGTGACTCGCTTTCGGTTCTCGACGCAACGCAGTCAAACGCACTCCAACGCAAGTGTCTGAACAGGCCTTAACAGTATATGCTACGCTTGCGGAACAGAGCATCGCAATGGTGCTCCCGGCCACGTTGTATCCAAGGCCGCACTGCGGGAGCGGCCGTGGCTTTCGCAGGAGACCCGGAGGAGCGGATGGCGTGGCTGTGAGACTGTATGCTGCGGCGTGCGACACAGAGAAGATATGGTGCGGCGACACGCTGCGCGTGCGCCGTCGTCCAGTCATTTGTCTCCTGTTTCTCTCGTCGCCGTCGGTAGAACGTAGTAGCCGACGAAAATGTCGTCCGTTCGCAAGTTGCAGTTTCGCGTTGTTGTCTCGTCCGAGGTGCCTGGACGTGCCGGTCGCGTATCACTCCGCGAGTGCCGCAGACGCGAGCCAAGCGATCGTCCTCCGTGTCGCCTGCTTCCCAGACTTTGGAGACATGTTTTCAGAGATCGCTCGCGTTATAAAAAAAACCGAGTATACACTACCTATTGGCTTCACATAATGTTCAACGATCAAGGTACCTTTCAGCGTGTTCGATTGTAGGGCAGGATGCTTTTTCACAAACACAAGGCGACAAACAGGCTCCACCGCTTCTCCTTCAATAAGGAATTGGCGGCGCAAGAAAAACGATCGCGATATTCTGAACCTGCAAGCAGAGCCCGTACAGTTACTCTAGCTCGTCCATGCTTGCCGCACCGCGGTCGCCCGTTTAATGCCTCTCTCGCTCACGCCTCCTTGCCCCACCGTTGACCCCCCTTCCAACTTCCTCACCGGACTCCCCAAACGTGCTCAATCCATGACACGCGTTCGTAAGGAACAAGCACCTCATTGAGCAGTGCGAAAACCAATCCCAACGCGCAATGCTGCTGTGTGCCTTTGCAGTAGTTCCTAAACAGCTTTCAAGCCTACGTGTCACGTGATATGACGTCACGTCCCGGAGGCGTGCACGGGCCCTGATTGGATGCGAGTGCCGCGTCAGTGTTCGCGTGGAACTCGTTCCCTATCATATCCCACGCGAACGCTGACGCGGCACACGTATCCAATCAGCGCCAGTGCAGGCCTCCGGGACGTGACCTCATGTCGCGTGACACACAGGTTTGAAAGCTGTCTAAGAGGTGCTGGCCTTTACACATGAATCGTACATACAACTACGAATTTCCGCGCATGCGCAGGACACTACTCTGGTACAACGGCGAAGGCCCCCACGCGGGACTTTTGGCGCTCAGCGCGTTCAACACAGCGCGGCTGCGCAACCTAACCCAGAACCCGACAGCGACCATGGTGTTCAGCGTCAAGGCCCACCCGTCCGTCAAGAGAGACGAAAACGAACTCGTGAAACAGCAGAACACGTACCGCGAGGTCATGCCCAAGGTGTTGCGCTCCATCTTCTTTCCCATGGTGTCCAGCCTCATGTGCAGTAACTTCGTCATCTATCCCGTCATAGAGAGGGTGACTCAGGTAACCTTCGTGGCTCTGTCTCCCCCGTATTTTCCCCAGCATCACCTAGATAAAGAGGCAAGAGTGGTAGATTTGCTTCGTCACTCACTGGAAGCTAGCCCAGGTCCAATGTGTAAGATGCACATCAGTGTGGACACCGCACGCGTCGCAGCTGCCAGATAAAGTCCCCCTCCTCGCCTCGGTTGCAAACGGCGACACTAAGTGGCTCTTTGATATGCGACTAATGTCAGCCTGTCGCGGGCCTGGTTTCCCATGCTTCTCGGTTGGAGACACGCTTGTTTTTTCAGTCGTTTCTGGGGGCGTGACGTCATGTAGCACTTGACACTTGCGCTACTCGTGTTGCTCAGGCAGTGCGTCGTCAATTATCATAGTTTCGTGCACCAACTGCGGCAACATTTTTTTTTTTTTTTAACGCGTTGAAGCGGAAAGGTTTCTGGCACGGTGGTCGAGCCAGCGTCCGTCATGGTCAAAGCAGGCGCTCTGATCTGAAAGAGCGCGCGCAAGGGTATAATAAAAATGACTTTTTTTTTTTTTTTTTTTTTTTTTTTTTTTTCAGTCGCGTCGCTTGGTATATAGGCGGAGGCGCTGTCGGTTGAGGCTGCTCCGGTGCGCGGCAATAGGACTATTTCTGGTCGATCGCGTCGCAGCGTTCACCAGCTGTGTGTCCTCACGTACTAGTGTTTTGTGAACCCAGTTTTTCGCACCGCAAAAATAAACTAGACATAGCGGAGAGCTCAAACTCCGTCAGAACGTAGCCCCAGCCGTTCAAGCAAGATGCCAATGTTTCAGCACCAACCGTCATCTTATTCGAAGGTTATAAGCAATTTTCTCAAACATTTGAATGGAAAAATGGCGGCCTACGGAGCTCTGGGACATATGAAGCTCTATGGGGACAAAAACCGGAATCAGGCGAAAATGGGCCCCGTTTTTCCACTGAAAATTTCAGAAAACCACATCAACTTTTGAATAAGAAAACGGTTAGTGCTAAAACGTCGGCATCATTTTTTTTTTTTTTTTTTTTTTTGAAAGGCTGGGGGCCTGGGGCTACGTTTTGACGAATTTTGAGCTCTCCACGAGGTCTTTTTTTATTTTCGTGGTGCGAAAAACACGGTTTAAATTTCCTTCAGACGCGCCCCATATATGTCAGACCATGTGCACATTGAACACAAGTTCAACGTCAGCGTTCGCCTAGTGGGGCTCGTGTTCAATCAGTAAGGATACGAGCCCCAGCCGAGCAACACTGATGTCCCATGTCTGTCCTTTTGGTTTCTACGCGAGGCGGGGCAAGCTACCGCCCGCTATAGACAATACAGCCGTTATCGTTCATCTATCCAATCATTCAACCTCTCGGAGGGAGACTACCGCGAAGGCCATCTTATCAAGGAGGTGTTGATTTTACACTTTTCAGGCTCAGATTTTTATGTTTTTGTTTAAGTATCAACCTCCCAGATATCCATGATTTTCCAGATTATTCAGGTTGCGATCTTTCCTTTTCGTGCGTTTACAGATGAAACTGAAAGAAAAAAAAATAGAGCTCCCGTAATCACCTCAGCAGACGAACACGGGATCTCGGTTTAAGCCTTGATGCTGCCGTAAAATGCCGCATCATAGTCGTTTTGCCAGAAATTGTCAATTTTGGTTAAGGCAGTGACCGAACACGAGCTCCAATTCGAATGCCGTGAACGCCAAGCCAAGGGCACATTTGAGGCTTGAGTCAAATCCATGAACTTCATCGGGTTGCAGTGTTTTAATGCCTCTCTGAAACTACGGCTGACCTGTGGTCCCGCAGTGAAGTCATCATGAGTTACCACTTCTCACACCTAGGTTTGCATGCTTTTGGAGGGAGAAACGGAAGTAAGTAGTACGGCCCTATTCATCGGATTTATTAATGACAAGGCACTTGTAGCCTTTTAAAGTAGCCAATGGCAACAACGGACTTCTGCACTTGTAGCCCGTTAAAATCAAGTAAAGATTAAGAATGCGCCAGAGGTTTCTCACAGAATTACCCTCATTACCGCCAGCCATCGTTTCTCCGCGATACACAAATAGTCCTCTACCGAGATTATTGCGTAATCATTAAGGACCCAGCCATTTTGAAAATGTCACGCCGACGTCACAGCTGGTGCATTTTCTGGTTCTTTCGCGGAGCGATTCATCACATGGTTGGCACATTGTGGTGTTTAGTCGGCGCATTTTTAACATTATATGTAGTCAGTAACAGTGTTCAATTGTGATAGAGTTCGTAGTTTCATTAGAACATATATTGTAAACTTGACATGGGATCTCAACAGTTTGCAAGGCTACACTTTCTCGTGATTAGCACACAACTAAGCAGACCTATGAACCTATTAAGCGACTGATTAATTAAAACTATGCTGATATCTTCTATTTTTGTATCTTAAAATATGGTAATATTGCGTGTAGCTCAACTTGCTCCATCAGACAGCAGATTGAGTTTTAGGTCAAGGACCAAGATATTCTCGCGATGGCAGTTGATAATAAATATTCTTGCAGCTTACGCTGGAATAGTGCTTTCTTCAATACGCTCGAATGAAACGGATAAAAATAGGCGTTTTTTCTTGTGAACAGGTGAAGCACCTGCACTTTATGAATGGCGTGAGCAGCTTGTTGTACTGGTCGGCCAACTTCTTCTGGGACTTCATGTTCTACCTGGGCACGGCGCTCTTTGTACTGCCTCCCCTGCTCTCACAGCTCAACTACCTCGTGGGCATCGACACTCGTGAGCATTTTATCAACGGATAACTACGGGACGATGCATTTGGGGAGATTTGTTAGTTTTGCATATTTAGGAGGGGGTAGAATAAAACTGGGTTGCGGACCCTTTTATTAGCCACGAGGTATTTCTATGGTTGCTATGTTTGTCAATTTTTGATGGCCAGTGACAATTTCGATGGTGTGTGTAAAAAGCCACGCCGGACGCTTGTAGCAGTCGCGTCCTTAAACCAACACCGGCAAAGTCGACAGCCTGACACTCCTTCTATTTCCATTAATGAAAGTATAAGCCACCATACTCAACACGTCCAAGTGAGCGTTTTGCCAATCATGTAAGGACGACCACAAAGACGATTTTTGTGGCACACGTTGCCAGTAATCGAGAATGGCACCCATGTCCTTTGATTGTCCCACTTCTAGCGCGAGCTATGCCCTTGGAAACCCTTTGCCGAAGCACGGCAGAAGGCAAGGAGCACGTGCAGGAGGCCGGGCATTTAAAAGGGGCCCCTGCTGTTCTTATCCTGTTAATAATTACGGTATTTTTTACAAGTATTTAATACAACGATGGAAGTGCATTCTGCCAATAGCATCCTGAGCGATTAAGTGTAAAATTGAAATGTATTTTAAAATGACCAGGTACATTCGACGAAGAGGTAATCTTGCGAAAATAAACGGAAAGTAAAAATTAAATATAAGATGGTGGAAGACAGGACGAGGTTTTTTTTTGTTTGTTTGTTTGTTTTCTAGCTCGCAACATAAACATGTTTGTGCTAACAGTTACAACGATGTCTCGGTTCTACCTTCGCCATTTTTGTTACTTTCGGTTTCTTCTTGTGGATAGATATCAGTATAATTCTTGCGAAAAAAAAATGCTTTCCTTCGCCAATATAAAAGAAAAAATACATTGTAGAAGCTTCGTAGTGGTAATCGACATATATCACTAGACGACTTAGTGTCTTCATGCTTATAAGCTAAGAGGCTAAGCTGCAGGTATACCTGCAGCTTAGCCTCTTAGTTTTATGTCTAAACAAACGACAGCGACAAGCCTCCAACTCATGCAGCATGCTCGCAATGGTACCTTTGGCAGGCGTTTAGTCCTTCGGTGCTCGTGAAGTAAGCACAAGTGATTGCGAGCCTGCCAAAGATATGATCGCGTGCATGATGCTCGTGCTTGAACATAGCCTCCTTTATTCTACAAAGCCTGTCAAATCGCGAAAGACTGTGGTTTGAGGGATTGCCGCTGTCGCTTGTTTCTGTTTGTCGCTGTAGTGGGACTCGGGCATTGGGGCTCCCTGGAAGTTAGAGTGCGATTAATCTGGAGCTTTAGAAACAAGGTAGGAAATATGTTCCCTCGTTATTCCCACATGCTTGTGTGTTTCTTTCTGCAGAGGCCATTATTCTTCTCAACCTGCTGCACGGATTCGCCGTCCTTCCAGGCATCTACATCACGTCCTTCTTCTTTGACAACCCCATCCAGGGCTACTCGACCCTCGCCATCACCGCCTTCATTTTGTGTACGCTCAAATATCTACGTCACATCGTTCGAATCCTACTATATTTTAATTACTCACTTTTTTGTTAACTTCTACGTCCAGTGACGCATTAAACGGTTCAGCAAAGCTGATGTCACTTATACTGGTGCAGTGATGCCTCCCTTAATTGATCAAGTATGGTCTAAATTGAACCTGATCAGCATGCTTATGCTCCAATTATGTAATTTAGATTTATAGCGGTGTAGACGGGGGCGCGTTTGCATTTTTTATTCGACAACGCTGTTTTTTTGATAAAGTATTATAAGAGAAAGCAATTAGTGCTGCGAATAACGTTGACTGTTCCAAATAAATTCAATCCCTTTGGGCAACTTTCTTATGATTGTTATGGTATTAAACAAGACTATCTGTCCGCCCAGTACTACTAATAGTTTTTCGTTTAAAGGCCGACGTACACTTCGCGCTTTCCACTTTGGCCCGCTTCCTTCTTTCCTACATCCTCTCCACTTTTTACCTTGCCCCAACTTGGCTCCCCTCGCAGCTTAGGAGAGGGGAGCGCTAAGAGGATTATCTTCCCTGCAGAAAACCGGGGATGTACGTCGGCCTTTAATGCTTTTCATACTTTTTACATAACGCTACGGTGCTACGGTATGTTATGCATTTTAGCCTAATGTAGCGCCACATCCTAGTACCATTGAAACTTACTAGAGTATGTTAACAATTAAAAGAATACAAAAAAAAAACGAACACAACTTTGACGGGGGCCCTGTCTACATATTATATTACCAGACATTACCACTGTTAAATAATACTTTCACAAGGATGGAATAAACAAGAAACGGAATGAGCACAGACGGGGCCGAATCTTCCATATCCACGGTTCGAAACATTAGAGAAGATGCGTCCGTGTCCTACCTTCTGGCCTTCTCTGCCCACAAACAACCCTCCATCCGACACCGTGACCCTGCTGTGGACACCAGCCCACACAGGCGTAGGCGCTAATGAGATGGTGCACGATCGTCCTCGCGAACTTATCGACCGAGCCGCCGTTTCAACTGCGCCTACATGCGATGCTCCTGTAGGCAAGCCTACCTCCCTCCTGCAGTACAGGGATATTACCCTACAGTACCGCCTCCTCCGCCGCCAATACCCTCCCCCGCACCCCCACCTCTCCCAAGAAGCAGCACACATGCTGCGCCTCTTACAAACACACACTTTCCCCTACCGAACACAACTAATACAAACTCACCCACACCTCTTTACCACCCCCGCCTGTCCTGCCCTGCGGGGTACTCGACACTCACTACCATTCCCTTTGCGAATGCCCCGCCAGACCCATACCCCCCTCTTCCCTGCCCTCACCTCTGGGAGCGGATGTTGCGCTACCCGGAGGAGTCAGCCCAAGTCCTGACCACCTCCCGGGCCCTGGCGATCGCGGCGGCCCTCTGGGCCTTCACCACCCCCAATACCTGATCCCGGAAGAATAATAAAGTTTCCTCCTCCTCCTCGATCCCAGCGTTCCTGGGCTGCCTGGGAACGGTGTTCGTAGAACACTTCGCGTACACCATCAACGCTCCTCTGGTCATGGTGGTACTCGAAGTGATGCTGCAGGCGATGCTGCTCGTGCCTTCCTTCTCCTACTCCCGGGGCATGACCAAGATTCTGGAGCTGAGCAGCGAGAACAAGATCTGCCGCACGGGCGGCGTGAACCTCGAGCGCGTCTGCCACACGCACGCCATCGACTTCAAGTTATCACTCAAACTATGCTGCGAAGGTGAGAGACCCGGCTCGCACAATCCTTCTTTTTTAGATTCGGGTTAACGTTAATGTTGCGGCTCATACAAGATTTGTACAGTATCGCTGCTTGTTCCACAAGAAAGAAGGTTATTGAAGTCACTAGGAAAGCCAATTATCTTTATAAGTACTGTCAGGGATCGTTGCGAAAACATATAGAGGGTGCTTTGCCCGGCTTGTTTGCCACGCAACACGATGTTTAGCCCCCCCCCCCCCCCCCCCCCCGCCCCCCAAAAAAAACAAAACAAGACCTCTCCCAAGACTACTCAGGGTAACCGAAACATGTGAACAACCTCGACTACCTTCACGTCGCATCACGTCAGGGTGACGCCAACTTAGCAATCGGTCCGGTACCTGACATCGAACGTTCTTATGGAACACACGGCCCAGCCGAACACCAACACAGCGTTTGTGTCCGATCTGCGTCTGCGTTCGATCTCACTCTAACGATGTAAGCATATTCTAGTACACGGGTTTTCATAATTTTAGGTGCTGTGAGAATCAGCCGCACTATCTCGTGAAGGGACACAAGAGTGAGACGCACACTCGTTTTCGTTGGTTTACATGTTTCTCTTTTGCTCGTGTGCCTCGGTGTATCAGTGAACTGACGACACTCGTGCGGTCTAGCACGGGGGACATGTGGGAAAAGATGACATTGATGGGCGTGCAAGAAAGGAAGTTTGGGCTCAGGCAGTACGGAAGATAACTCGATTGTAATTTTCTTCTCTCGGCCGAGTCTTGTCTCCTCTTTTCGATTAAAGATCATCTGCTGCCTTCGGCCTCGGGTACCGGCGCATGTCCCTAGTGAAATAACCAATCATGACTGGTGCCTCTGCACTTCACGTCATCTATACGTCGTTCGAACTCACGTTTTGAACGCGATAGCTGCGTCGGCATGAACTCGTGTTCAATCGGTCCAGCGTCCCCAACCGAGCGCTGCGACAGAAACAAGTAATTTAAGCGTATTTCCCACACAGCTTTAAAGTAAATCGCTAGGTGCGTAAATGTTTCATCTCAGTGTTTGCTCTCTCCCCTCCAAACCTCCGCAGTGCCCAAAGGCCAGCATCCCGAGGACGCCACGATCCAGGCCCTGTCGGTGCACCCGTACTCGGCCTTCTACGAGGCGACCACGTTGGCCGTCGAGGGACTCGTCCTCTTCCTCGTGCTCATGTTCGTCGAGTCCCGCTGGGCGTTCCGCGTAGAGAGACTGCTCAGCGCGCCCCAAGAAAACGTCCGAGCCACCGCAACGCCAAAGTTGATCGCCTCCCCCACCAAGGTGATCCATCTACCTGCAATGAGAGGAGATGCTGATGGAAATAAATCCTTGAAAACCGTGGTCGCACTCCTGATACGTCAGACAAAAGACCCTCTGCCGAGATTGTGTAAGGAGTGATTCTCCCTTCGTGAACGGTCACACACAAACTGCGTGCAGACATGTTCGACGCATGTGTTGATTAAAACATGTTTGAGGCGTGTCTACGGATGATTTTATTATCATGTCTGGTGCGAGCACCGATTTATTTTTGTATTATGTATAAGCAGTGCGACTACCCTTACATCTTACAAAACTATAGAATGTGTTGTTTTGTGCGAGTATGCTAGTACATATTGAACTTCTGTCAGTACGCTTGCGTAGAGGTCGTCACGTCCAGATATATTTATTTATATTTTCGTCAAACCTTACGGGCTCGTTGAGAATTTTGTGTAAAAGGGGCGAGACATATAAACATATATAGATATAAAGAAACCCAATAAATAATAATACACAAAACTGCAGTACAGGTGTCACTCACTTTGCACAAAAAAAAATAAGTTGAATTGTGATTACATGATTGGATGTATCACGAGAATGACAAAAATATAACATAATAAACGAAGTATGTGTAATTAGGAAAGAAACACGGTAGATTTGACAGATCAAGATACGTTTTTCACTGAATAGTTTAGTGTCAGTAATGGTGGCTATGAACTCGGGAAAGTTGTTCCTGTGCGGATACGGTACAACTGAATCAATGAATTCGTTTGTTGAACCAGTGATATGTTGAAACCTTTTGCTGTTTATGGTGCGATGGGGTGATCTATAGGGCGGGTTAAAAAAAGAAATGTTTGTATAACAATGGTTGTAATAGAACTTATGTAGTATGCACATGAGAGAGACGGTGCGACGCACTTCAAGCAAAGGTAACGAGCACTGACGTTTGAGGGGAGAAACACTCGCGTTAAAGAAATAGGTTGCTGCTAAGAAGCGTGCTGCGCGATTCCGACCTGATTCGATGCGAGCGGTTAGGTGTTTCTGATGCATGGGGCTCCAGGTAGCTAATGAAAATTCTAATTTGGGGCGGACATATGCCGTTTCATGATTCAATGCCGTTTCATTACCATTTTAATAATTCTCGAGGCAAAGAAAACCTAAAAACCTTAGTGACTCCTTGACTGCGTAGACACTCGTTCAAACATTTACACCATTTACAGGTGATGCTTGAGGACTCCGATGCCGTGCGAGAAAACGCCTTGGTCGACACCCTGAGCGGGTCTGTTGGTCGAGACGCCAGACCGCTCGGGCCAGACCAGAGACCCGCCATGGTTGTGAGCCGCCTGACGAAGGCGTACGGCTGGTGGCAGAAGAAGCCCGTGCTTCAGGGCCTCAGCTTCGTCCTGCGGACCGGGGAGTGTTTCGGCCTGCTGGGCGTCAACGGGGCCGGAAAGACGACCACCTTCAGGATCCTCACGGGCGACGTCTTGCCCGCCGACGGAGACGTCTTCCTCGACGGCTTTTCGATCGTTCGGCAGACCAGACTCGTGAGCGCCTTGGGAAAACTTGCTTAGACTCCTGAACCAACGCAGTGTGTATGCTCTTTTTCACCTTATGATGTACCGCAGGAAACGCTACAAGCGCGAGCTCCTTGCTGTGGGGCACATCTCGGCGGCACAAGCTCTCGTGACTTAAGAGCAGCTGTCAACGCTATGAGCTCGCGCTTCTAGCCTTCGCTAAGGTGAAACGAAGTATAGTTAGTGACATGGTAAAGATCTGTTCACACATACATCGCAGCGCTATAGACGCTTTCAGGCAGCTGTGCATGGGCGCCGCCATAACCGACCTTCAGTTTTTGTTTCCTCTTATTCCGTTCGATCCACTTCATCATTACCACAGCAGGAAAGCTAATTGCCATTTCAGATTCTACCGTGTCCTTCTCCCCAGCATAGGCCCTTGTGGAGACTCGTCAACGCCCGCTTCAGTCGCTCGACATCTCGGTAAGACAAGAGAAGGTCGGCTATGGCGGCTGAATTTGGCGCGCGCTGAAAGCGTCTATACGCCCACCGCCGACTTCGCGCTAAGCACGTGCTGACGAAAGCGTTCACTAGATTTGTATCGTACTGCCAAAACTGTCGCTCATGGCAGACGATGAGTGGCTGCAGACACGTAAATAGCGCTGTATCAGCGCTGCACTGCACGTGGGAACCGGCCTGAAGAGTGCAAAACAAGCTCCTCACAAAATCCCCCCACTTCTCCACTTGATCAGATTGAACGCTTGAGAAAATGTGAGGACGGACTCATCTCATCTCCAGCGTTCGCTCCACTAAATGTGGATAGTGTAGAGCTTTGAGGGAAGAGCTTATCCTAAACTTTTGAGCTGTCACCAACTATAACATAAGCAAACGCAAGTCTGTGAACGGTCCTTTACTCGATTGTTTATTCGACTTAAATACTTAGGTGCCCTGAGTGTCTACGGATAAATGGTTCTGGGCTTTGCTTGGGTGGCACGTTCGAAACACTGCTAATTTACGAGGCGCTGCTCAAAAGCTGAGAGCGCCTGTCTGCGTAGGTCCAAGCTCACTTGGGTTACTGCCCGCAACGGGACGGCCTCGTGGACGAGCTGACGGGCACAGAGACGCTGATTCTTCACTCGCGGTTGAAGGGCGTCGCCAACGACGCTGACTACCTGGAAGTGCTGTTCGAGATCTTTGACCTGGCAGACATCGCCGGCAACCTGGTGGGCACTTACAGGTAAAAAACGCAAATAGAAGCTGCGGTTAGGCGGCACCTCCAACGGAGATGTCGCGAACGAATTGTGATGGAAGTCCTGTAAAAATGGCGAAAAATAATTTTGGTGCTTCATCATGTTGATGAGTAGAACACATACACGGAGGAGGCTCGTCTCACGTGTGTTGCTTTCCATGTACCACTCTCATTTTCGTAGACAAAAATTCGCTAATGAGAAGTTGTCTTCTTTGAAGATCAAAGACACATGGTTAAGTTTAATTCAAGTATATATATATACCTCACGCTGCATGTTCAAGACGGTTAAGTGGACAAACTCGCACCAAAACAGTTCGTACTTACAAACTTCAAATAGAAAAATTTTATATGACGGATAATGACTGCGAAACTACTGCCCACCGAGGCTTGGATCATAAACAAGAATCTCTTAATTCCAACAGTCCATCGCTCAATTCTTAACTGAATCGGGCCCCAAAGTGACATTTTTCATAGTGCATTTTATCTAATGATAGATTTTGCTCCCTTCTTTTTTGTTAAACGACGAGAAATTAGATTTTTTTTTATTTGTGGCTATTTGTTTTTCCAAATTGTTTTTGTTAATCCCTGTAATGGTCCTCAACAGTGGTATGACAATATTTCTAAGCAAGTACATAAATAAACTTCGACTTATGGTCCTAGGATCGAGAAGGACGCCAGAAAAATAATGACTTGGAAAAGTTTAACTTTCTGCAGAAACACATTTTCGCCGAAAAGTAAAAACAAAACTTTTTTTTTATAAAAAAAATCTAATTTGCTCATGCACGACTTTCGGACATGACATCAAACTTGTGCGTGAGGCATCAGAAGCAATCAGTTAACTGGAGATCAGTTTTTGGAAGTTGTTTTCATTATCTTCTTGACTATTTGTCAGAGTGCTCAGCCATGTCATTTCATTACTTGTCGATGCAACTAATCTGCAAGCAGTCTTCGTTACTTCAGAGAAAATTCTAGATAGCTTTTTCTTCTCCGGTTGCATTTACATGAGATTTCTGTTTTTCTTTTCAAATTAGTTTTATCCGATTCAGACGAACGAGAAGATAATGAAGTCTAGTTTGAACAACAACAAACATCAGTAGGGACTTCTCCCAGCTCACGCTGAATATTTATAAAAGGTACAAAATAAAATGACGGATACAAATCACATGTCATAGTAAGGTCATTGAAAAAGCAATGCCTTTACGATACAGGTTAGTCTTGTAACTATACGACGCATGGAACGCGTGTCCGACGGGTGTGCTTAGAATCTTATGCTGAGAGCAAGTCGTCTGCTTCCGGAGCAGGAGTTGCTGTGACGTCAGAACGACGCCGAGCCCTGATTGGCTTTGACTGAAATGGTACAGTGGGTAGAGCTCGATGCTAGATGCCTCTAGGTCTGCCCACTATATTTTTTTTTAATCGGCCAATAAGAGCTCAGCGTCATTCTGACGTCACCGTAACTCCTGTGCAGGAAGCAGACGATCTGCTCTCCGCATTCCGTCCATGCATCGGAAGCAGCCCCAAAGTGACAACAAATTACGTCACAAAGGCTGCAGTGTCACGCTGTCGGATGCGATTATCACGGCGGTTGGGCGTCAAAGTTATAGAAAAAAGAACGCGACGGCTGCTGTCGTCGCGCCGTCGTCAACTCCTAGCCCTCGAAGCTTCCGTGTAAAGCTTGAGGGACACATGCAGCAAAACTAGCGTCTGCCACATCTACTACCCCTGCTGTGACACCGCCATGACACTTCTGTGGCGTCGTTAGGCAAAAATGGAGGGACAACTTTTTAGGTCGCGGTAAACACGAAGCTCAAGACAAGTTGTGAGACGCGTTACAGGCGCCGTATACCAAGCGCCGAGTTCCTCGGCCTTTGCAGCGCCGGCAACAAGCGCAAGCTGTCGCTCTGCCTGGCCATGGTCGGCATGCCCAGGGTGCTACTGCTAGACGAGCCCTACGCAGGCATCGGCACGACGGCGCGCAAGAGGGTCATCAACTACATAACCGCCCTGCAGAGAACGGCCAAGATGTCCATCGTGCTTACCTCGCACAGGTACACAGTACAGTGGGTAAAGCTGCCTAGGTGGCAGTTTTTGTTTTTTTTTGTCGAAATTTGATTTTGTTTGGGAATTTAGGTCCTTAAAGATCCCAAAGGTGCCAAGGTAGAAACAAACTTGAAAGCCTTTGGTCGGAAAGTGGGTATCGTGGCTCTAATACTCCAAACAAGTGGCGGACTTCACTACTGGCAGTTTGGCTGTCATCTGGCCTCTTTGGGCCAAAGTCATTAAACACGTGCCAGAGATAGGCTTCACTTCTGGTTTCCCGGTTTTCATGTGGCTACTTCTGGCCTAAATTGAGAAACAAGTGCCAAATTTAGGCTTGGATGCAGGCTCAATAGAATACCCCTCACTGCAGCCGATCTAAGCAGTTTCGTTTTCACCTAAGAAAAAAAAAAAAAAAAAAAAAAAAAAAGCCACTCGGCAGGAGCGGAGCGACCGCTCTTTCATTTCCCCAGCAATCACTAGGCATGTGGAGCGACTCTGCTTTCCGAGCAGCCGTGTCACCGCATCGATGCCATATATAAACATCCTAGAATCAGTCCAAGTCATTACTAAGGCAATTGACTCGGTCGTTCGCCTTAAGGCCGGTTCAGACACTTGCGTTTGAGTGCGTTTGACTGCGTTGCGTCGAGTACGGAAAGCGAGTCACCGGCACATCTGTGCTTCGTATGAAGCGTGGAATCCAATCCAAGGAATCATCATGGCACGCGAAATAAGCAGCAGGGATGTCATGGTTTCCCGCTGCCGCAACGCAGTCAAACGCAGTCAAACGCAACTGTCTGAACCAGGCTTCAGTCCTTGTCAAGTCAAATCTTTTGTGTCTTTTTGCCCCTGCAGCCTACATCAACGCTTGATGTGAAATGAAGTACTGATTGATTGATTGATTGATTGATTGATTCGGTGCGCGCTGCAGCCTGACGGACGTGGAGTTCCTGTGCAACCGGATAGCCATCCTGGGGAGCGGCAGGCTGCAGTGCCTGGGCTCGCTGCCGCACCTGAAGCAGAAGTTTGGCAAGGGTGTCACCATCACCGTCAAGACGTACCCGGACAAGAAGCAGGACTTCGTGTACCAGAAGGACGTGGTGACGGCCGTCAAGATGAACTTCCCCAAGGCTCAGTTGGCGCACAGTTACGAGGTACGAGCCCTACAGCGGCAATCTCGGTCGTCACTTTTTAAAAAAACTCTGGGAAAGAAAAAGAAATGTTTTTCTTATCAGTCTGTTTGGAACACGCGCGTCAGAAAAAAAAAACATTTACGCGAGAAAATAATTTTTTAGAGCAATAATGACGGCGCGAGACGCGATTTGATCGGCAGTTGCCTTTTCACTTTTTTTTTTTTTTTTTTTCTGTCGGCATTTTGGACGCGTGGGGAGAGGTGGATCGGCTTCGCCTTCACGACCGAGATGGTCATTCCGGAATGAACCGTGACGTCATGGACTTCGCGCGCAGGATTTCAAATAAATCTCTCGCCGTCAATATCGCTCTAACTTTTTTTCCCGCATAAAATTCATTTTCTGACACGCCCGTCCCGACAAGAATGTAAAAAAAAAAAAAAAACACTTTTTGGGGGGTTTTTAAAGGTCGTTTTTTTTTTTCAGAGTATCTGTAGACGCTGGATTACGTGCGAGACCGAAAGCTTCGCTGTGGTCGGCTTGCCAGAATTGACCACAATTGTCTGACTGTCAACTTTGATGCTTACAAGCGACAATTTCGATTGTGTGTGTAAAAACCACGGTGTAGCGAGAAGTTATCGCGTCATTAAAGGGGTCATGAAACGATTTTAACGCGAAACGTTCTTTGGCTAGTTGTCGTGAATTTCGTGGAGCCGGATTAAATTTCCCCGCTAGATTTAGCGGGAAAATTGACTTCAGGTGACCTGAACGCCAGATCAATTTCTCCGCTAATTTTAGCGGGGAAAATGATGTCACATGACTACATGTCACGTGATTATAGTTACTCCGGATTTCGTGAGGCGGGACTAAGAAGAGTCGTATTAAGTTTCCCTGCTAGATTTACTGGGAAAATTCACGTCACATGACCTCCACACCGATTATGTTTACCCGCTAAATTTAGCGGGCGAAGCTATGTCTCCTGACGTCATGTCACGTGACCATTACACAAATTAAGTTTCCCAGCTAAATTTAGCGGAAACATTGGCGTCAAGTGACCTACACACAAATTGATCATACCCGCTAGATTTAGCGGGAAAATTGACGTCAGATGGCTTCGCCCCTAGATTTAGAGGGGAAATTGACGTTACGTGGCCTACACATCAATTTAGTTTCGCCGTTCAATTTAGCGGGGAAATAAACGTCATGTGACCTACACACCAATTCAGCTTCCCCGCCAAATTTAGCGGGAAATTTACATTACGTTACACCCATTGCATATCGCTGCAGCCAGGAGGTGCAGCTCTCGCTAAGCGTTTTTGAGAACGATTCACGTATCCATCGAAATTGCCTAGCAATTCGCCATACATCTTTGCTACAGTCGCTATATACTACCTAGAATAAGTCACTAACGTTAATAACTGAATAAACTTATATCAATTTTTCTTCCTAGGCCATGGCACTCTCCAAAAAAGATTTTAAAAATAAGAGCATTGTTCATTTCCTCAACGCGGAGCTAGAGGAAGCGGCCACGTTGCCTGTTGCCTATCCTATGCTGCCAACGTTCGTCATAGCCACGCGCTAGTGTTGGCAAAGTAGAAAACGCGGGCTGAGCTCCAGGCATTGTAAGAGTTCGGCTGTTCATCAACGCAGTGGTTGAACACGAGCCACTGCCTGAGTGTCCGCCAAGGCATTGATTGTTACGAGCCGAAGTCGAGTGCACACGCAGTTCTCGTGCCCAATCCATGGAACGCGCTCGACTATCCTACGGCGGGTGGTTTGGATCCCGCAATAACGTCATCGGGCTTTGCGAAGGCAAGACTGAAAGAAATAGTCCCCTTTTGACAAAGAAGCTTCTGAGTCAGCGGCGTTCTTGGCGAGTATATACTTGGGCCAGACTAGGACCAGTGCGGCTCTGCAGATTCATGAACATTTCAAACCGATATCGCTTCGTGCCCCCTTTAATTCAGCACCGTCGAAGTTGTCAGTCTGAAATACCTTTTATTTTCATTAATGTAAGCAGAATTCAGCATACTTAGGACGCGTTTGGCTAATCGTAGGAGACCGAGTCCAGCGACGCCTTTGGTCGCGAACGTCGGCAATAGCCAAAAGTGTCCACGAGAGTATACATCGGAAGGAATAGGAGAACAGTCTATTGGTGCCTTTTTCGGCTAATTTAACTTTCTGATACCAGGGCCTGTTGGAGTTTCGCATGACCCAAGTGAGCATGCTGTGGAGCGAGATGTTCACTCTTATGGGCAAGATCAAAAGGAAGTTCAAGTTGCAGGACTTCTTCATCACGGACACATCGCTGGAGCACATCTACCGGAGCTTCACACGCAACGAGACAAGCATGGCAGCGGCTCTGGCAGAGGTCCGGTAGACCAGCGAGACCTTCTGAACGTCTGGAGGCCTTGCCATTTATTAAAGCCTAATATTAATAACGATAGATAATATTAGAGAAAGCGTGGTCTTATCCACGGGACAGGATGTGAGAATAACTATTTTAGCTTGAAGCCTTTATTTTGCTCTAAGACTTTCTCCTTTCCCAAGTTTGGTTTGTGTTTACCAATTAAATACATATGAAACTAAATACGACTATTTCCGACTGAACAAGAATTAAATATAATCCATTTGTTTCACGGGAAGGGGTGACACCAATGCGCGTAGTTGAACCGGGCAGGCGTATTTCACGCAATGATGTCCAAGTTTTAGGGGGGATTCAACCCTCGTCACTCACTGGGCAAATTTCGCTACACAAACCTGAATTTCAAAAATGCACGATAGTGTTCATTCTTTTGGGGGTTACTTATGATAACGTAATGAAGGTTGTACGGCCCTTTGATCTTTCTTTTGGAGCGCTGGAGATTTTTAATAAAATCCAGAATTATGACCGTTTTGACTTTTTTTAGCGCGTTGTGTGGCATTTTTGAAAATACAATTATTTAGAAGACAAACGTGACAAAACGCTTGGCCGTACGTATTAGGGGTGTCTGTAATCCTAATTTTAAGACCATGACAAGAAAGCAAAATAATGTTGTATTGGCGTATTTGTGTAAATAAAATCACCCTGTTAATTTTATTTTCAACTTGTTAAACGAGATGGCGAAACAAGTACTAAATGCCTCAAACCGGAATTTTCTTGCTGTTGCTGTTGTTTTTCTCTCGAGCTCGAATTCGACCGCGATGTCTCGTTGCTCCTGGATCGGTAGCACGTGTAGCGAAAGCTCACGTTGTAAAGCTCACTGACCGCTCATTCACACTGGAAGCGGATCCGCGTTCGCAAAGCGGTTGCGAACGCGGTTGTATAAAGATCCAGTACATTTGCACGCGCACTTGATGTCATCGAGTGCGCGTGCAATTGTACTGGATCTTTATACAACCACGTTCGCAACCGCTTTGCGAACGCGGATCCGCTTCCAGTGTGAATGAGCGGTGATCGTGAATTCAATACACCGCCTCTGCCAGTTTCAATCTGGATGAGCATCGTACCGGCCTGCTGTCATGTATCACTATTGCGTGATGCACGTTAAAGTCGTCAGACAAGCAGCGGTATACTGCAATGTCTTTCATCTCCAACGAAGACACCAGATGCCCTCAGAGCTGACTAACTTCCCGCTGTATAAACATAGACACAACAGAATTACAATTGATGGCTCCGTTGGTCGGCACTTTTTGAACGTTGCAAAAACGTGTAACTAGTCATCAGCAGACTCCTAGCGAAAGGCCTGATACGGCTCTGAATGCGATACTTTTGTCGGTTCTATTTTTTTGTGTGTTATTATCTTAGCACGCGTGCTCAAACGCTTGCATGCGCTACAAGCGTGGCTCGCAAGCACCCTAACCCCCCATTCACACTGGAAGCGGATCCGCGTTCGCGAAGCGGTTGCGAACGCGGTTGTATGAAGATCCAGTGCAATTGCACGCGCATTTGATGTCATCAAATGCGCGTGCAATTGTACTGAATCTTTATACAACCGCGTTCGCAACCGCTTTGCGAACGCGGATCCGCTTCCAGTGTGAATGAGCCCTAAGATCGTGCAGGGTTGAACAGAGATATCCTAATATGTAGGGTGCCTCAATGTCCTTCTGCTTAGGGTGATGCCACCCTTTGTAGAATCCGATGCCGACAGCACGCGCTCACGGGGAAAATACAAATAAATCAACGAAAACAAAATGTCGCCATTGCACAGACAGCGCCACAAACGCGTGCAGGGACACGCTTTTTCACGCGCTTCTGAAAAAAAAAAATATAAAAAAGGTGTGGGACAAAATTGCCAGATGTCTTCACCCTAAAGGCCCGTTCACACGATGCATTTTTCTCGCGCATCTAGTGTCGCGAAACATAGTTTCGCGAAATGGTTGCGCCGTCTGAACGAGTCCGAAAAGGACGCGCGCATCTAAAAAAAGTTGCGCGCACACCTCGCTTCTGGAGCGAGCTTTTGCTGAAACTCTGCCGAGTCCTGTCAATCACTCTGGGGGCGCCGCCAATGGCCGCTCAGAAACGCTCTCACGTGGTCTTTGAAGGGGGAGCGAGCTGTTTGAGAAGACCACTTCACTGCCGGTGTTGTGGCCGAGCCAAATCCGAAAAAAAACCGAAACCACGAACGATGGATACTGCCGGCGCTTCCGCAAGCACGTCAAGCACCACTGAAGGAAAAGTGAGTAGCATATCGGGAAAAAAATCCAGCGATGGACGAAGACGTAATTCGTGATGATGATAATTCGCGTCTATTTTTAGTCATAATTAAGAAATAAAACCTTGAGACCAGGAAACAAAAAGGGACGTACACAGTACCGCCTCAAAACCAGCATAGCGTACAGCTCCCATTACTTTCACAACAGTCTTCTTCTTTGTCAACCTCCATCCAAATTAGACATATTCAAAAGTAAATAAAGTAAATGGCAGTAAATGACAATTCAACAACTAGTAAATGACAATTTAAGAGTAAATTAAGTAAATGGAAATAAATGACAGCTGTATGCTGTGCTGGCTTTAAGACGGTCATGTCGTATTACACCTGAGACTGCGGTGGAAGAAATCGGAAGAACTTTCAGTAGAAGGAACAGGCACAGAGAACGTGTGCCTGTTCCTTCTACTGAAAGTTCTTCCGATTTCTTCCACCGCAGTCTCAGGTGTAATACGACATGATTAGCTACCATTAGCTCGCCTGCACTCTCACCGTCTTTTCACTTTAAGACGGTGTTGTGTATGTCCCTTTTTGTTTCCTTGTCTTAAGGTTTTATTTCTTAATTATGATTGTTCACCAGCTCGCCTGCGTTTTGACTCTTAGAATGTGGCGGGAGATGGAGAACACGGCGCTGAATGGCTAATGGTGATGATGATGATGTTGGCTTTCAACTGAAGCGCCACTTTATGGTCAACACCCAAACTATTTTCGCGAGTCTAAACGTCATCGTTGTTGCACGTGAAGCGGTACGTGGGAACGAGCACATTTCGCGAAACTTGAGTGTCGCGAAACTGTTGCGCGCCTAAAAGATGCATCGTGTGAACAGACCTTAAAGGGATTGTCCGGTCAAATTTTTTATTCGAGAAAACAATTGAATATCATTGTTATTGCCTCGAAACGCATCGTACGTGCAATACTGAATTTTATATGGCCCTCTGCGTGAGTAATTGAATTTATACTGCTCCAATCGCATTCTAGCGTAAACGCGGTTTTCGTTGGCAACATTGGAGCTCTGACGTCACAAAACACAAAGCGAGCATTTTTGTCTCGTCGATTGCCTGTGAGTGAACACCTCAGCGTGCTTCGTTTTTGTTGTCGTGCTCGACTTGTTTCGTGGTTGGGTGAGGTTTTTGTTGCGCGGTTGGGTGCCATATCCACCGGGCAGCACATGCGAGCCAAGATATGACGTTCCGCACTTTTCCGCGAGACGTGCAGTGACGAGCAAAGTGGATCGTCGTCGTGCGTAGGGACTGGGTTCCCGTCAAGACCGAGATCTCGCTTATGCAGCAATCATCTCACAGAAGAAAGCTACGAGCTGAGCTCTAAGCGGACAGAAGGGTTGTAAGCTGAGGTGTGATGCTGGTGCCAACGATATTGAACTACGTCCACCCATTCCTCGCCCAAATCGGGCCAGTCAATTTAGGTCTGTTCGATTCCCCTGAACTGGCTGAACTAGTTCAGCTTCCGTGCAGAGGCAGACGACAAGAGCAGACGGCGATAGCAGACGACACTGCTCGTCCGCCTCTGCTCGCGGTACCATTTTTCGCAGCTCTTGCTCAAATGTGCAATGTTTAACAATAACGCCGATACGGAGGTTGTATTTCCTCTCGTTTATGATAATAACGTACCCGCGGTGGATGCGGAATTGAGATCATAACCGGGGGTAGGAATTTGCTTGATTATGATATTCTGAAAGCGTTTTGGGCACCTGCTCGCGTAGGTTTGGCTCCCTGTGGTGAGTGTTGAAATATTGGCTCACGTAAATTGTTTCTTTTTGATGCTATGCGGAGATCCACAGTGTTGATATTCTTACTTACAGACACAGGAAAGGTATTGCCCTCATGATAGTCCCCGCCTTCAGTTGCTCTTGGATGCATACTGAAGATCCGATACATTTCAGAGGTCTGGATTTAGTGCGTTGACACTCGCATGTCCCCGTAGCTGAGCATAATACTGCATGCTTTGTCCGCTGGTATCTGTGGACGCCCGCTAACGGGCCTGGGGAAAACGCCGAGAATCGACATTTTTGCCGATTCTCGCTTCAACTTGACGCCGAAGTTACGGTCGATAACAAGACGCTACCGTCAGGCCTTCCTCTTCGAGGTGACCGGTATGCCGACCGCGCGCTGCCGCCAGCGACTCCCGACGTAAAATCATCCTGGTGCCACGAACCTATCGTCGAAATGCAAACGTTTTCTTTGAGGGGCTTTTGCCGCTACCAGAACTTCCTGGCCGAATCGAACGGACCTTGATTATGCAGCGAAACCGAAACCAACATCTAGGCCATCTCGAAATGATACCAGAACTTGTATTTAGCACGCGTGCAGCCCGATATCTGTTTGACCCGCGTGTGAAAATGGAGCGTGACTACGATTCACCAGGCTCGTCCAAGTCAAGTGACGACATGCATTTGAACGGTTCGCAGTTTGCCTTCGGCCCGCGGATATCGCCTCTGGGGGAACGACCCGCAGCCTCATCACCGATCCAGTGGATCCGCCGAAATATGTGCCCAGATGCCGCTTCGTGTATCTAGCTGTGCCACTTCAGAGGCGAAATCTGCATCCTTTGCTTTGCAAGCGCGCCCTAGTTCGATCGCGTCCTTCGCAGTTGTGTTTGCGCGAAACAGCATACGTTTGCTCGAAGCTTATGGCTGTCTGCGAGTAATATCCCGCTAAAAGGCGGGACTTTTTCTGCACGTGCTTGGGAACTGCATTAAAAGAACCGTGTTTCAGTAGGGTACTGCCTAGG